ACTACAATCTGTTATTTGAAATTAGCATCTTCAACTAAATATTTTACAGTTTTTCTGTAACTGAAAGCCGTCATCTAGGATTTCAAAATGGCTTCACACATAGATTTCCGGTTCGTCACACGTCACCTTGATTTCAAAAATATTCATATTGTGGGGAATGCGACAATATTTTCACAGTGCCAAAATCGAATGGATTCTGGAAATGATGTATTTTTGCTCCTCTTAATAATTAATAGGGTAAGTGAGCCAATTTGAACATTTTGGTTCTCTAATTGGCCTTATCTTAATTTTTAATTTTATTAATTCTTTTCCAATTTGATATCAGGTTAGAACATAGATTTTGCCATATAAAGCTGAACATTGCATTAGGTCCTAAGTAACATTGACAGATTCTCTTCGTCGACTTTCTCCTTGTATCTCGATGGCCATATAAAGACATTCTCATGTATTTTAGCTCACAGCTGGATAAAGTAAGCTTTTATTCAGCATCTAATACGACAAACACAACAAAAAACGGTTATGTGCTCAAGTTATTAACGAACGAAATTCTTGGGATGAACACACAATCTCGATTTATGAGAATCTACCACCACTACATATCGTCAGATATGTGTCTTCCTTGTTACACTCCAGACCGTGCTAACTTCACCAATTGAATATGATCTAACCATGAAACAAGGAACTCATGAGATTCCCGATCAACTTCGACCTATTATTATCCCGCGTATTTTTACTGAAAAGTACGAACACGTCAATTGCGTGAAAAGATATTTTACAGACGGGTCTCGTCTCAGTGAATCTACTGGCTTCGGTGTCTTCAATGAAAACTCTAGCGCCTTCCGCAAACTCCATTAGCCTTGTTCCGTTTTTGTTGCTGAGCTGGCAGCAATCAACTTCACATTGGGGATGATTTCAAACATGCCCGCAGACCATTACTTCATCTTCTCGGATAGTCTCAGTTCGATCGAGGCTATTTGGTCGATGAAACTAAGTAGGCACTCATCTTATTTCCTTTCAAAGGTAAGGGAGCAGATGAGTGTGCTGGTCGAAAGATCATATATGATTACCTTTGTATGGGTCCCCTCACATTGCTCAAGCAATGAGAAGGCAAACTCTCTCGCAAAGGTGGGCGCGTAGGAAGGCGAATTTTATGACAGGCGAATTTCACACGATGAATTTTACCATTTAGTGCGTCAGAGTACCATTTCGAGTTGGCAAACCGATTGGGACAATGGAAATCTTGGACGGTGGTTACATTCAATTATTCCTAATTTTTCTTCGAGAGTGTGGTTTAAAGGCTTGGACTTAAGTCGTGACTTCATTCGCGTGATGAGTAGACTTATGTCCAACCACTACTCGCTAGATGCTCATCTCAATAGAATAAATCTCGTGGACAGCAACATCTGTCGGTGTGGAAACGGTTACGATGACATCGATCATGCAGTTTGGCAATGTACGTCGCCAGAGAGCGACTTTTGAATACCCTTAAGGCCCAAGGAAGACAACCCTATGTTCCTATCAAAGACATGTTGGGAACTCGCGATATCTGCTATATGCAGTCGGTTTATGTGTTTCTTCAAATGTCTAGTATAAGAATTTAATTCCTTTGTCTTTTGTCTCTCTTTAATAGTTTTTGTTTGTCTTGTCCCCCCGTCTCGATGAGTCTCATCGTCGCCCACTGGTCACCATAGCCGGTCGAACTCCAGACGAAACTAGAACCGCTCTACCGTTCATACTGGGGACAACGCTCTGATGAGACAACGAAACCTTTCCCCCAAGCTTCTCCCCTGATCCTATCCTTCGATAATGTACCTCTTTAACCACGAGTAAGCCGCGAGTATTCGGCCCAACTCCTACTAGACATAGAATAAAGTGAATTTTGTTAAAAACAAAGAACAATGAACTATCGGCTCCGTAAAGCTAACGCGATTGAGCCTTCCAAATAAACGAACTAGTTAAAACAAAGTTATTAACGAAAGAGAAAGTCGGCGAATAGAATCGATCAATGTTACTTAGGACCTAATGCAATGTTCAGCATGAAATGTCTACGCAAATAAAACCATGAACATTTATTTCGAATTTGAGTTAGGCCAAAAACTGGACCACAAGTGCCATAACTGGCTCATTTACCCTAACGTCCATGTCATAAAGAGGACTCATGGTGGTTCAAAATCAACAAAATCTTAATTAATATTGAAAAAAAAAAAATTGGAAACATTAAATTTTCGGAGTTGTTGCCAAAATCGTACTGTAGTTTGGAGAACAGTTTTAGAAGCTAACTCATCAATGTTCTATATCCCGCCTCCCACTCACGAAAACATTCTCAGACAGAATGTCGATTTTTGATAACATTTGTCTTCGGGATAACACCCGATCTCGAAGTTTCATGTATTTTAAAGTGATTTCTTGATGAACATTTCAATAGGTCATATCTGCTTTGATCGATTTCCTTCATCGACTTTCTCTTTTGATAACCGCTAACATGTAAACAAATTTCGCACTATTTTTACCCCATAGTACGATAAAGCAGGTCCTTATCTAGCGTCCAAAACGTCCAAAATGGAGATAGGACCATTTGAAATCAACTGAAAGTTTCAAACCCTATTCTACCTAGGATCAAAGGTTTACCAAAGATTCACAAACCAGGAAACGAAATGAGGGAGATTATCTCGGCTGAAGGATCCCCCACTCATAAGCTTGCCAAATGGCTAGTAAAGGAAATTAAAAATATGCCTAAACCCTTTTCCACTCGCTCAGTTAACAGAACACAGGAATTCACAAGTCAGCTTCAGGCATCAGGAGAGATTCGGGAAGATGAAGTCATGGTTTCATTTGATGTCACAGCACTTTTTCCGAGTGTACCAGTAAAGGAAGCCATCAGCCTTTTAGAGGACTGGCTTCTGAAGCAACGTGAGGGTTCTACTTGGAAAAACAAAGTTCGGTCATATCTCAAGCTTACTCGTCTTTGTATGGAGGAAAATTATTTCATTTTCAGAGGAAATTTCAATAAACAAACTAAAGGTGCTCCTATGGGCAATCCGCTTTCTCCATTTTTATGTGAATTGTTCATGGCTAACCTAGAAAATACTCTGGAGGATAGGAATTTGTTGCCCAAATGTTGGTATAGGTACGCGGATGACATCTTTAGCATTGTCAAAAGGGAAGATTTATCAAAAACTTTGGAGGCCATAAGCAACGTTCACAAGGACATAAAATTTACTTACGAAGAAGAGAGAGACGGCAAACTCCCCTTCTTAGATCTTCTCATCATCAGGGAAACGTCTTCGTTCAATTTCGAAATCTATAGGAAACCAACAAACACAAAGAGAGTAATACCAAGCACTTCAAACCATTCCCATCAACACAAATTGGCCGCTTTTCACCACATGGTTCACAGGATGCAAACTCTTCCTCTTAGCGATACAGGCAAATCAAAGGAAATAGCTCACATTTTTGAAATCGCTAGACTTAATGGGTATCAAGAAAAAACAATTCAAGCAGTAATCGATAAAAGAACAAGGGATCATTTAAGGCGTATTTCGACAACTCTTACACCAGTAACTGAGGGTTTAAAACGGGTAGCGGTGAATTTCGACAAAAACATTACCAAACCATTGATTTCAAAGTTTAGAAGTTTTGGCCTAGATTTAGTATTCAGCAGTAGGACAAATCAGCTGAAGTCACTGTTAGGATCAACTAAAGATTCAATAAATGTCTTAGGGAAAGCCGGAGTCTACAAAATCTCTTGTCCAGATTGCAATAAAATCTACATTGGTCAGGCGAAAAGGACTTTGGAAACAAGGTTTAAGGAACACATCGCAGAGGTAAAAAAGGCTAACAAAGAGCTGGATAAAGGACTTCATTGTGAATTTAAATCCAAGGTTGCAGAACATATCGTTACAAAGAGGCACAATATGACTAAGGAAAACATTAATATCCTGCGGACTGTATCTTCGCCTTGGAAACTAGACGTAGCTGAAAGTTTAGAAATATTTAAACATAATCCATCAACATTGCTTAATAGAGATCAAGAAAACGGATACTCGAGACTCTTTAGCATGCTACCTAAAACGACACATCGTAGCATGCCTCTACCTGTTGGAGACTGAATTTAGGTACCTGGTTAGGTAAATTTTGACATGGCAGTGGATACCTGCTGATTTTTTAGTACCTATTGATTAGTATATAACTCGTAGATAAAAGATGGATTCTTCAGTGGTGTTGAGTACTTGGCACTGATGAAGTCTGCAAGTAGTAGACGAAATACGCGTATCTGTCAAAAGATACGCAATTATAACGGAATTTAAAGGAAATAAACCAACGCACTCAAAGCTCTTCATAAAGGGATTCCGTTAAGAGGTTCAACAAATTTAAAGAATTAAGACATGGACCCTGTGCATTTTTGCGTGTTAAAATTCAGATATGAACTAAAACCATTAATCGATCAACAGACAAGTGCAATAAAACCACGGATTCCATTTATCCTCACTCTCTGGTAACATTCCTTAGCTGGAGCTACGCTATGGTAATACAAGCGGAACCCTTCAATAGTCACCAACAATCACTCTCGATGTTGCGAGACACAACTCACCTGTTGCGTCATCCCTTCCATTTTCGTCCCTAAAGTGGAAGGGATAGCCCATTTGATCAATTCCATTTAGCAGTGCACTCGAATGAACGCACTCTCTGTCAACCGTTTTGCACAGCTTTATCTAACCGTGTACATTCTGATTCCGGTGAGCTTCCACCGCAATGTCGCTCTCCGGTTTTCCATCAATTTCCACATCCCAACAAAGAGTATGTTTCGAATCGTCCTTTCCGCTCGCTCTCTATGGAAATTGCGTAGCAGGAGCAGGAGCACCATTTCTCACCCAACGAGTGGGAGAGTGTGCCGAAGATGCTAAAGGGAATTTGCACGAGAGCACCCTCCCCCGAAGCGGACATTCAGTTACAATTTGTCACTGATCGGCTATACTACACGACGGCGGCGGCGGTGAATTTCGAATTTTTGCGACGACGGAAGGAATCGTTTGCGACGCGTGATTTTTTGCCTGTGGGAAAAATTTTGTGCGGGTTCAGGCATAGGTGTAGGATATTTTTTTTTGTAAGAATGTTGTTTGGAGTGGCTTGGCTACGGCGTAGGAATTTCTCGAAATCTGTGGGATAGGAGGTTGTTAAAGCAGCTGACCTGAGGTCAAAACGATTACGAGTTATTCGGGAAACGGTCAGTTTGTCACAGAGTTGAGTGCGTTGAAGCTGATCCGGACTAGCCTCGGGATTGTGACGAAGATAATTCAGTGATCGGGTCAAACAGTTCAGAACAATAAAAAAAAAATGCATTTAGAAGGATTCTCCGGGGGATTATGAACGGACTGGAATGAAAACTGATGGCTGCAAGTGAACGAAGAGATTTGAAAGAATATTATAAAAAAGGAAAGACGGATAATCTCATCAAATTAAATCTGATTAATTGAAGGAAAATATTTTTTCCCTGTCAGTTTTATGCTCCTGGGGCGAGTGGTTTGAAATTCTTGGTGGAACCGAGATAGACAGCGTCAAGTGCAATCCGTTGGAAGTGGGTCATTTGTCTCGTGGCAGCGGGATATAGAAAAGAAGAAGAAGATACACAAAAACAACAAAGCAGCAAAACAAATCGAGTGAACTCGGAACAAAGCGTGGCCGGTATAGTTTGAAGCGGCGAGGATTAATTAAATTCATTAAACAGAATTAATCTGTCTGGTGTATTTCTCCCCTTGGGCTAGTGGCACGCCTGTTAAAAAGTAGTAGCTGGTCAGACAAGTGGAAAATAAGTAAATTAATATACGCTCCTTAAACAGGATTATCCGAGTTTTACCACCCACCCGTTGCCCAACCTCAAACAAAATCTGTCCTCCTCCACAGAGACACCAAAATCTGACCGAGGCAAGTCAGCCTGTGAAAACCGATAGCATTGTTTGGTCGAAGTGGAACACAGGGAAAAAGAAAGCGCGTGACAAAGTCTGAAGAAAGTGATTTTTATTTTCAACCACCCAAACCCAGCACCCCCCGTCACGTGGCTTGGGAGTTCAATCGACAGTGGATTCTTTTCCGGGATTTTTCACATTCTCCTGTTTGTTCCGTTTCTTCCTATTTTTTTCAACAATGATGCAAGAAGCGCAAGAAATTATGAAGCTCGTCGTGTGAATAAATTGTCTTCCTGCGATTACGACTGCGAGACGTCGTCGTCGTCGTCAACGAGGTCGTGGTCGTCCGTTCCATCCGTTGAAGAAAAGTGGCCGGAAATGAAATTTAAGTGAAACGAGTCACCGGCACCAAACGAGCGAGAAAAATCAGAAGCAAGGAGAAATTGTTTGTTATAAGCTGGTGGCCGTCTGGGGTAGCCTGGAATCCTCCAAGTGGTGCTTTGGCCTTTGAAGAATGAAGAGTGGAAAATCATACCGAGTGGAAAAATAAAATTTACCGGAAAATCCTGGCCTAGTTTGTGTACGGTTGTGATTTAGTGGAAAATTGAAGTGGTTTTCTGTAAAAAAAAGGGGTGAATTTTTAACATTTTCACCTCCACCAGTACCACATTAAAGCGACAGTCACAGAAATTACCAGCATCACTTTGACAGCAGCTCGAACGGCGTGGGAACTCGTGGAAAACAAGGTTAATAAAGTTTATTTACATAATTCATTAATGGCTAATGCATATTTGATGAGATTTCGAGGGAGGTTGCCCGCTCCGTGTTGGCTAATGTAGACTGATTAAGGTTTGCAAGTTTCGCTTTTCAAGGGGAAATGAGCCGAAGCGAACTATAGCTGCGGTTCGTTTGCGTAGGTTTCTGGTTAATGAATGGAATTGGATATTTTTCGGAGAAAATACGAACCTAATTATTCTCGGTGAATGTATTGTTCCAGCTTTTCTCTTGGCAAAGAAGTTATTTCTGGCTGTGGAGCTATGGTTATTTGCTGGGAATCATGAAGTTTGGTTTCATTCGAATACTGCTCATTACATAAGCATCTGCCCGTCTTGATGCGCTGCTAGTGCCTTAGTTTGGAGAAAACTCAAACCTACACATACTCCGTTTTAATCGCCGGAACTTACGGCTTCCGGAAAAGTTCCAACAGCATTGTTTCGTAGCTCAACAGCGCTAGTATGATTTCATCTTGCTCAAAACTTTGCACAGGAATGGGGAAATCTTTGTTTATCAATCTAGATCAGGGTTGGCGAATGTCATTTTCAATGAAAGATCTCACGCGATATTTACAGAGATATTTCTGTCACTAACATCGGATGAGAAAACAATGATAGAGATTTTCTTCAAAATCTCATCGATATTTTTGTCATGACAGAATGTGACAGTGTTGTGTTCATCGTAATTACTGGCTCATTTATTGCTATTAAAGTTACTTGTACCGAGGAAATCTTAATAATATATTCACTCTACCGATTACATATGGTTGCTTGCTTAAATTTATTTAAATCAGTTAGAAATGTTGATGTCAAAACTGCATAAGAATTATTCTCATGAGTGCTTGATCATTGGAAAATGACAAGAAAGCTAATGATAGGTAGTTTCATCTCGTGATAGTGAGAGGACCTGTTTTCTCATTGTCACATGACGACCGTGATATTTACCAGCTCTGATCTAGAAACGTTCGGCTATTTGAGATTTGATTTCTTCCAGATTGTAGATGTTCTGAAAGCAATTCAAATATCTGACATGAACTTGGGGTTAGGAGGGGAGGAACAGTTTCAGTGGGGTGATTGATTCAGTGTTGTTATTTCTCCGGTCAGTTCCGTAGATTTACGAAATGGATCAACTTATACAAAGTGAATTCAGATCACCGAGGTCAGTAAAATTTTATTGGGTTTTTCAACAGCTGAAAAAGTCGATATAATTTCAAATACAGTTACACGTGAGAAATAAATAAAATCGACTAATTTAGTTTTTTACCATTACATGGAGTGAGTCTGTTTTGCCGCTTTTCATTATCACTGGCGTGCACAGGGTGGGGCAAAGTGGGGGGGGGGGTGCAATTTCCCCTCTTTTATAAATAAATAAGATTTTTATTTCCACATTTACAAAATTATGATAACTTCATTTCATAAAATAAGGGCACTAGAAACGTCAATTCATTTGAGATGGTGCCTGTAAATTGCACCACAAAGGTGATTGAAGGGACAAACTTCAATGAAATTTTTCGTCAAAAAATTGCACCACAATGGAAAAAAATTCACATTCGTGGTGGTAAATTGAAGAAAAAGCTTTTTATTGAATATTTCTGGTGTAAAAATAACATCAAGGTGGTGCATGGAGGAACTAATCTAAATGAAAATTGAAAAAAAAAATTAACCACGCTAAAAATTTGGAGCATACAACTTAAAATTTCTGGTGGAAAGTTCGCTACACTGTGGTGAGTGTAGAAGCAAGATTTATTCATTTTTCTGGTGCATAATTTGCATCGTTCTGATGAATGCAAGCTTCATTGAAAATTCATGGTGGAAAATTTGCAGCATTCTGGTGCATGAAGAGGCAAAGCCTGAAAATTTCACCACAGGGTGCATGGATGCACTTCCCTGAACATTTTTGGTGCACCGTTCTGGTGAATGGAGGAGCATGCTTTATTGAAAATTTCTGGTGCACAATTTGCATCACTCTGATAAATGAAATGAAATAAAGGCACAAGCTTAATTTAAAATTAAGCTATATTGAAAATTTCTGGTGGAAAATGTGCACCGTTCTGGTGATCGGATGGGCAAGCTTTTTGGAAAAATGTTGTTCTTAAATTTGCATCCTACTGCTGAATAGAGAAACAAACTTTAATAATAATTTCTGTGTGTGTGTGTGTGTGTGTGTGTGTGTGTGTGTGTGTGTGTGTGTGTGTGTGTGTGTGTGTGTGTGTGTGTGTGTGTGTGTGTGTGTGTGTGTGTGTGCAATCTAACCCCACTGGCTGGCAGTGGTATTATGGAAGAAATTTGCTTACAACAATCCTTAATGTAATAATTTAAAGCAAGTTTAGTCCGGGAGTTAGAAAGCGATAGCTCTACTGCAGATTCAGCAACCCATTTCAGAATGCCTGGTAATGCACGTCCATTCCGAGGTGACTTTCACATACAATAAGCCCCACATGTAAACACTACCGTTATCATACGAATAATGGTACTGCAAACACTTCCAGATTTCGAAATGTGATGTTTCGAAATCTGGCGTGTATTTAGTAATTTATGGAAATATGCATTTATGATTGATTATAAATCAGATGGATCTCACCAAATTCTGCCTCCGAAAAAGGACCGGTTTGTTCACTCGCGGTAATCGAAAAAATCTTCCGCGTTGTTTTTACAACCCAACACGACATTTTGAATCACATTCGAAGTTTTACATTTGCACCGAATTTTTGCTTGAGACCTCATTGCGTGCATCCTCCGGAAGGCAGAACGCCAGCACCAAGAAAAGAAGAAAAAAATACCCGGTAAAACTCTTTTTGGGAGGGAGGCAAAGCACCAAAAACAAGCGAAATGAAAAACCGACCGACGCGACACCACAGCAACACAGCTACCCGAAACAAATTCTTGTCCCAGATTTTCACGTTAATTACAATATCACTAAAAAAAACTTTTTAAGACGTTATAGATCTTAATTTACACTTATCCACACGCGAAAACTAATATTTGTTTGATTTGGTACAATTAAAAAATACGCGAAACACAAATGAAATCAGCGCCAGCGAAAACAAAACCAACCGTTCGCGGGTAGAGCCTACTGCGTTTTTTTCAACAAACTTTAATAATAATTTCTGGTGTAAAATTTGCAAATGGTGTAAATCATCAGAAGATTGGAAGTAAGCTGGTTTACTGAAAATTTATGATGAAAAATCTGAAAATAGAAGCAAGCTTTATTTGGTGGAAATCCTGCAACATTCTGATGATAGAAAAAGCAAGCTAGTTCTGATCAATTTATATTTTTTGGTGTAAAATTGTATGGGGGCAAGTGTGTATTGAAAATTTCTGGTGTAAGATTTGCAACAATCTGCTGAATGAAGAGGCAAGCTGAATTGAAAATTCCTGATGTAAAAATTGCACAGTTCTGGTGAATGGAGGGGCAAGCTTCATTGAAAATTTCTGGTAGAAAAACTACATCGTTTTGGTGAATGGGCGGGCAACTTAAGCTTGACTTCCGAGAAGAAGAAATAGAATTCTGAGGACAGTTCTAAAAGAAAAGATTCCTGTGGATGATTCCATCAACATTCTGCAAATAATTTCTAGTGAATACTGCAGATAGTTCCAAGATAATTTCGAAAAGAATACCGAGAGAATCAAATTTTGAATAAAATTCCAAAAGGATGTTGAGAAAATTTCCAAGGAAATTCCGAGGATAATTTAAAGCTCATTCTGGGAAGAATTTCTGGAGAATGCAGAGGAAATTCTTCTAAAACTTTAGGGGAATTTCAGTTCCAAGGTGTTGTGAGAAAAAGAAAATTCTAAAATATTCCGAGGAGAACCTCAAGGATATTTAATTCTAATGACAGTTCCAAAATATTTCTGGGGTGAATTCAAAAACAATTCAACGGATAATTTCTAGTGCATCTTGCAGATAGTTCCAAGATAATTTCAAAAAGAATACCGAGAAAATCAAATTTTGAGGGAAAATCCAAAGTTATTTTAAGCAAAATTTCAAGCGAATTCCGAGGATAATTTCTATCTCATACAGTTCCAAGGTGTTCTGAGAAAAAAATCATAAAGAGTTCTAAACATAATTCCAGTGGACTTCTGAGAAGAATTTCAAAAGAACTCTTAGGAGAGTTCTAAAATAATCTGAGAAGAACCTCAAGGATATTGAATTCTGAGGACAGTTCCAAAGGATTTCTGGGGAGTATTCCAATAAAATTCTGCGTATAATTTCTAGTGAATCCTGCAGATAGTTCTAAGATAATTCAGAAAAGAATACCGAGAAAATTGAATTTGGAGTGAAATTTCAAAAGGATTTTGAGGAAAATTCTAAGGGAATACCGATAATTTCTGGCTCATTCCGGGAATATTTTTTTAGAGGAAATTTTTTGAAACTCTAAGGGAATTTCAGCTTCAAGGTGTTCTGAGTAAAAGTCAAGAACAGTTCTAATAATAATTCCAGAGGATTTCTGAGAAAAATTTCAAAAGAGCTCATAGAGTTCTAAACATTTCGAAAAGAACCTCAAGGAATTCTGAGGATGGACTTTTTCGCAAGTGTACAAAGTTTCAAGACAGCTTTTGGATTCCCTAATTGAAAAGTGGGTATTAGTTTGCCATTGAACCTTGGTCTATTGTTTTTTTACTAAAAAATTGTCTAAGAATCTTCGCTGAAAATTTCAAGACATTTGTTACCATGGTCAAAAAGATATAGCTGTTTATGTGCGTTGCAATAAATTCGGGTTTGTCCTTTATATCATCTTTAACACATGTTGAATGTTCTGTCACCCCGACTGGCGGTACTTTGCGACGGTTCATCATCGACATCGGCGATGGGATTAAATTGCCAATTTTTATTGGCTGTCTGAAAGCAGTTTGCATTGAAGAAGATGAACCACCACCGGAGCAAAAAATAATTAAAATTAGTTAAATTAAACCGTAGGGGAACAGTGGTAGGTGGACAACACCATCTCCCACGCACTTTGGAGTACTCCCCA